CAAATCAAAGAAAAAATAAACAAATTCTACTGTTCCTAATATTCTGTATGTTGCTCAAAAACAAAATATAGTGTTCAGCAGAAAAACTTTTTTTTATTTATTTTTTTACCCAGTCATTTAAAAATAACATTTTAGAGCAGTAATGACAATACCATGATACCGTGAAACCGTGATATTTTTGCTTAAGGTTATCATACCGTCAAAATTTCATACCGGCCCATGCCTAATTGTATCTCGACCAAATATTGTCCTATCCTAACGAACCATACATCAATGAAAAGCTTATTATATTATGTATAAATCTCAATGTAAAAAACATTGACCCTTATGACTAGTGGTCCAGGGTTACATATTAGGATTGGCATTCCACCAATAGACAAAAATGTTTTGATTTTAAACACTTGTAATTATGTGAACAACCCAAACAAAATACCTCTTTTGTGTGTAAAAAGTTAATATGTTTAACACTGAATGAATAAAATTATTACCAATAATATCCCAAGGTACAAAAGGACACAAAAAATTTAAAATAAATAAAAAATGTTGACAATGTTTTCACAAGTTATTAGCGTTTTTGCGTTTTGTGTTGTGGTTAGAAAACATCTAGAATAACAGTACAGTAAAATACAGTATTTCACACTATTCAGTGAGCAAGCCTTTTTTTTTCTTTTACACCTAAAATACCAGTCAAAAAATTGAATAATTATTAGTACTATTATATATAAAAAATTATTTTAATGTTTAATAAGTCTCTTCTCATAAAGACTTTTTTTTTTTTAATTTACTGAAAATGTAGCTTTGATCACAGGAATAAATTACATTTTACAATGCATTAAGCCCTGAAGGCATTTTTAGAGATTTTTGTTTTCTCTGATTGACACTCATGGAAGCCCGTTTCCGCCACAGTTGAGGAAAAAATATCTTTCTTTAAGTCATAATAATGAGAAAGTTTCTCATAATTATGACTTAGTATCTCATTATATTGAGAAACTAATGAATAGACATTCAAAATAATGACTAATTTTCTCAAAATGAGAAACTTTCTCAAAATAATGACTAATTTTCTCAAAATAATGAGAAACCTTCTCAAAATAATGACCTTTCTCGAAATAATGACTTATTTTCTCAAAATAATGAGAAACCTTTTCAAAATAATGACTTATTTTCTCATAATAATGAGAAACTTTCTCGAAATAATGACAAATTTTCTCAAAATAATGAGAAACTTTCTTGAAATAATGACTTATTTTTTCGAAATAATGAGATCCTTTCTCGAAATAATGACTTTTCTCTAAATAATGACTTATTTTCTCATAATAATGAGAAATGTTGTAGAATACAGATTTCTTGGTACTTCAAGCGTTTGTCCTGATAGAAGCGGGACGCTGAAGACCAAGCTGTTGCCGTGGTAACGAAACGTCGTTGTTCGTTACCACGGCAACTGCTTGGTTTTCAGCGTCCCGCTTCTTGCAGGACAAACGCTTAACGTAAAAAATGCTTAACGTGGCTTGAAGTACAAAGACATTGAACCAAATTCAGGACCCAAAATATGAATGCAACGCAAAACAGCAACACTTATGCATTTTCTATAGGAAAACGCTTAACGTGCAATTTTGGGTGTTGCGTTCAAATTCTGGGCTCTTATGCTTGCCTGTAAGTGGCAACCTTCCGGTCTCTCTCGTGAAACCAACACGCAAGTGACTAAAACTGCAATTCATCGACTGGCCGCTAGAGGCTGGCTCCAAAAGGGAGTCAGTCCCATAGACTCCTCATGTTAAAATTGATTTTGATTGCCCGATTTCGATCCGGGAGTGACGTGCGGTGACACGCTGCCAAGATGGCGATGGCCGGCTCCGCCTACTTTAGGCTTCAAAAACGCTCTTCGGAAACCTACGGGTAACGTCACGGACACAACGTCCATGTTTTTATACAGTCTATGTGTGGGACGCTGAAGACCAAGCGGTTGTCGTGGTAACAAACAACTACGCTTTGTGCTAGCGAGATGAGTTTGGGCTACTGTAAACATTGTGGGCCTATGCATGTGATGCATGAAAGTGACAGCTAATAAAACTAACAAATCATCGAAATGAACATCTATTCAGTAAATTTATGTGTGTTTTGGCTTTCATTTCTTCATAAATGTGATTTTTGTTGGAATATATTCCTCTATATTTGTTTGAAGCCATGAACTATCATTGTCTGGCAGAGTAACTTGTTGGTAGGTGCTACAAATTAACGAAAGACTACATACAGATAATTTATCTGAAATAATGACAGATTATACACTTTAGGTGTTCCTGCAAGGCTTTGACCAACAGATGCAGCTACTCGCTAGTGTGCCATCACGTTGCGTATGCATGGATTAAAGGCAGAGTAAGTGATTTCTGGTAGCCAATGTTGATATTTGAAATCACCAAAACCCTGCCTTTAAGTCATTATTTCGAGAAAACAAGTCACTATTTCAAGAAAATGTCACTATTTCGAGAAAGTTTCTCAATATTTCGAGAAAGTTTCTCATTATTTAAAGAAAATAAGTCATTATTATGAGAAAGTTTCTAATTTCGAGAAAGTTTCTTGTGTATGAGATTTTTTCCCCTGAATATTATAATATATTAACTCATAATTACGAGAAAGTTTCTCATTATTATGACATAGTTTCTCATTATATTGAGAAACGTTCTCATAATAACAACGTGCTATGTCATAATAATGAGAAACTTTCTCGTAATTATGAGTTAATATATTATAATATTCAGGGGAAAAAATCTCATACACGAGAAACTTTCTCGAAATGAGAAACTTTCTCATAATAATGACTTAGTTTCTCATTATGTTAAGAAACGTTCTCATAATAACATCTTGCTAAGTCATAATTATGAGAAAGTACCTCATTTTTATGACTTACAGAATTATATTTTTTCTCAAAGTGGCGGGAACGGGCTTCCATACAAAAGTAATGACTCATAACTCCAAAATGAGAGTCGAATGGTAAGTATCATTTGACAGAAAACCTTTAAGATTTTTAGAAAATAGATTTGCATTGCATTTGGACATTTTCCTGTTGAGAAATTGTTGATAAGACAAAAAAACAACAAAAAAAAAACAACAGTGTGCTCAAGGGAAATTCCTCTTGTCTTTCTTATTTCACATGCAATATCTCAGGAAGGAAATAACGGAGGAGGAAAATTCCCTTACATGTGAGATGCATCTAAATCAAATTTTGTGGTGATAGCATAAAGTAATCAAAAGTTATAGCATTTGGAACCAAGGTAGCTTTTTTTAAGCCCTTGACACCCATGGCATGGAGTTTTTTTTTCTTTTTCTGAGTGACATACACAAAAGTAATGACTCATAACGCCAAAACTGTAGCAAGGCTAGTCAAATGGTAGGTATCATTTAAAAGGTATCATTTGATAAATTGCAGAAAATGACAACTTGTCAAAATAACAAAAGATGCAGTGTTTTAAAAATAATGCAAAGAAAACAAGTTCATATTAGAGATTCACCAATGGCAATTTTCTTGGCCGATTCTAATATCCATTTTTTTTTTCTTCAAGTGTGACCTGCCAATACCAATTTTTGCCAATTCTGTTAAGAAAATAAATACATACATTTGTTGTAACTCCTTAAGGAATATCTTTAGATCTAAGTGACAGATCATAGTGAGTTCAGGCACTTTTTAATCGGGAGAACCTGCTGAAAGTATTGTAAATGAAAGTAATGTAATGAAAGTAATTTTCTACAGTCTGAGCATAACTTCATGTTTAAAAGTTAAAAGCCCAAGACAATTATGCTTTCTGTATTCTACTCTGTGAAACCTTTCAAATGACATAGGCACACGACTATCTGAACTGTATGATGTCATACCATTTGACATACTACAGTACATAGGTCGACAGAACACTTTGGGTTTAAGGGGTTAAAATAGAAATCAGTCATTATAATGATAATAACATTTCACAATGTTACCGTTTTTACTGTGTTTGATCAAATAAATGCAGCCATGGTGATCAGAAGAGATTTCGGTCACACTTTATTTTAAGGTCCAATTCTCACTATTAACTACAATTTTTGCCTCAAACTCTTGCCTAAAGAATTAAGGATGTAGAATATGATCATGCAGAACATGTGCTTTATAAGTACTAATAAAGAGCCAATATGCTAGTAATGTGCATGCTAATAAGCAACTAGTTAATAGTAGGAACCGGTCCCTATACTAAAGTGTTACTGCGAATTCTTTCACTAAAAAAAAATAATAATAATTCCAAACCGAATAACTAAAAATCAGTAGTGCATGTGTAGCTTACATACACATATGGCACCCATTAGCATCTCATTACTAAACATGCTTCTGGAGTTGTACCTTGTGTTTGAGAGTTACGAGAGCTTCCCAAAACAACACAGATCTCAGCAGGTATGTTGCCATCACTCGCTTTGCCGTTACTGGCCACAGACTCAACGGGAGACGCCACCTCGGTCTTTACGTTCACTGAGGGAAGCTTCGGGGACGTTGTTGGCACTGCCTGTGTGGCTCCGGCCTCTGTGGGGACCACAGCCGTGTCCTTCGGCTCCTGGCTGGGGTTCGGCACCTCCTGACAACTCATGACTCCAGGTCTGATCAGCAAGAGTGAAGGAAACTGCACAAAAACAGGAGCGGGGTTTTAAGCGAGAGAGCTAAATATTTCTACATACATTATAATTTAAATATATAATGTGTGTGTGTAAATTTAACATGTTTCAATATATGTAACAAAATATAGACGCTCAAAGCTCCAACAACTGTGCATGTGGGGCAATTCATGTCTTGAAAACTATTAGAGAACAATAAGAAGAATGTTAGAGAAAAACTAGAACCAATCAAAGCAAATTCAGAAACTCCACACAGCAGCCTAATCTAATTTCATGTTGAATTCAGCAATGCAGAGGAAGTATTTTACAAGCATACAGTATTTCCCTTCTGTGTGGGAGACCTTCATAACAGTGCAGAAAAGCAGAGATTTATGTTTAGGAGAATAACCACAACTATATGTGCATCGCTCAGAACTCTCTGCAGAGAAATAAAATCAGCTTGATGCATGCATCTGCAGTCTACAGAATGTGTGTGTGCAAGTGTCTGTATATACCAGGAGTGTTTACTACAGAAACCCTGAACCACAACATGGGGGGATGGGGGGGGGTATATCAGGTGGATTTTTTTCCCCCTTCTATTACATTACTCCCGAGCTATTTTTTTCTCACTGAAACTTTTTTCCCCTCTCTGTGGGGGGGTCTTCAAAAACTCCCCCCCCCCTTTCTCCTCACTTTTTCCCCTCAAGAGGCAACGAGAGAGAGAGAGAGAGAGAGAGAGAGAAAGACGTCTAACAGTTAGCTTGCAGTACCAGTCCACGCCACCAGGTGCCACTAACATTTGGTACTGCATGCTAATTATCAGCTAACCTTCATTTTTTCCCCACTCTCTCTTTCTTGTGGTGGTGCCTCTTGGGGAAGGAGAAAAAAGAGAGAGAGAGTTTTGAAAGAGAATAAAAAAAGCTTTTGAAGAGAGAGAAAAGTTTTTTTTGGAGGGAGAGGGAGAGAGACCACACATTGTGGTTCAGGGCTTCAAAGTTTTCTTTGAGGAGGTAAGAGAGGCAGTTCCTTCTGCACAAAATGCAAAATAAAAAAAAAGGCACAAAAATGTGAACCATGGCAAAACATGAGATTGAGTAATGCATAATCATCACTATTTTTTCTTACATAACACTGTCAAATAATTGTGTTTAACTTGATGAACTGAAATGCCTAAAACTGAAATACAAATTTTAAAAATTATATATATCTTATTATATATATATATATATATATATATATATATATATATATATATATGTGTGAAAATGATGACTATGATGACTATATTATATTCATCACATATATATTTTTCTATTGTTTAGTTCATTCGTTCAATGAACAAAACAATAGAAATTCATGTTACAAATAATTTTATTCATTAATATATTTATTTGTATAATTCCCTTAGCACTCTTTTAAAAACCTCCCAGCTTTTCCGCCCTGTTTTCACTCAAAACAAAACTACTCTGCCTGATGTGTGCATGTGAGACTGTTACTTAAAACTGTGCTTTATGCTGAACAGTATTTATTTATCGCGAGCTGTTCAAACTGCGGTAATCTATTGCGGTTTCAATGATAATTAAAAGATGAAACGGTAATACTAACCGTGGGGAATTGTATCATGATTTATCGTCAAACCGGTAATCGTTACATCCCTAACTACAATCATACTGATGAGGTGGGGACAAATTCACGGGACAGGAGTTGATGCCTCTATCGCACTATGATCGACTCATTACCGTGTGATAATAATGTGATAATGCACACCTGTTATGCCTGCAAACGGCTGAGTGAGATAAACAAACTGGTGGAAATGGACAGACCAATTACAAAGATCTCAGCACTTTTGGTCATGTGCAGACAAATGAACCTGAACTGATCTGTGAGTCGGTGATTCAATTAAAGCTGCCGAACTGTGGCTGTGATAGTCAGTGCTTACAATGGATCTGCTGACTAATGGACTGTTCATAATAACAGCCAACAAAAACAAAAAGGAACATTTTTATTATTATTATTATTATTATTATTATTATTATTGTGCTTAACGTACTTTATTATTTTTAAAACAATATGATTTTTTAAAATTTGGCTACTAAATACTACATTATTAACAGCATACAAAAGTATTGAATTGGTGGCTTGTTGATAAAGAAACGCACATTACACAAGTAGATTAACACGAATGCTGCTACCGTAATTTAATAGTTCCTTTGACAAAAAGCATCAGACAGCAATTTATATTTGCAGTACATGGTGAATATAACAAATATGATAGCTGCAAACATGAAATAGTCCAGCAAAGTTGAAGTTCAGAACAGAAGTCTCCGCATCGGATTTACACCTTGCATCTTTAACAGATTACTTTTTTTCTTAATACAGGATTCAGTGCACAGTCCATAAGATCTAACATCTGGATTTGCTAAAGTTTGCAAGGTTAGAGATAAATGTTTATTAGGACTTAATTATATGTATATACATATACTTAAAAAAATCATAGTGCTTGCCTTTTCATTATTAGATAAAACTATTAAAGACAAAATAATAATAATAATAATAATAATAATAATAATAAAGATGGAGAATGGATGGTCCTGTGCATCTGCATTCTGTCAAAATAAAAGTCCTACTTCTGACTCTCATCGGCCAAACAAAAATACAGATAATTGATTTAATTAATAAATCATCTGCATTTGTGCTGGTAGCTGTGTTTTAAAACATACTAGTTGGTTTCAAGCAACAAACCAGACACTAGCTGGTCTAACTTGGTTTTTAGAATGTGTTACAACCTAAGCTTCAATGTTTTACTATTAAAGGAGACATATTATGCCCCTTTTTACAATATGTAATATAAGTCTCTGGTGTCCCCAAAATGTGTCTGTGAAGTTTCAGCTCAAAATACTCCACAGATCATTTATTATATAATTTTGAAAGTAATATATAGAACAGTGTGGATAGCACCTCTTAATTACAGGTATGTCCATCAGAAGAAGAGCCAGGAGGCATTATTAGTGTGCACAGGTACGTTCTTTCACTGATTCACTTCGAAAACCTGCTCTGAACTGCGGTAACTATGAGCAGAATTTCAACACTGTCATCTAATGAGAATTTATTACTCTCAGGCTATTTCAGGAGATGACTGGAAGAGATTAGGCTGACAGCCCTAGTTTCCTTGAACCAGAACACACTGATACGTTCCTGTCATGAAAAACACTGGCATAAAAAAAGGAGTAAAAATAAATAAATAAATTCATTTATTTTGTTTGTATATATTTTTTTTCTTTTTACTATTTTACATTTAAATGAAAGTGGTGAAAAAAGAAATATCTCCTCTTAAATTTCAGCCGAGTGGGCAACTCAAAAAAGCCTTTTCAATTTATATGCTAATGATCTCTGAATTAAAATTTAATAACTGGGAGATATTGAAAAGCATACTTGAATTATACAAAAAATAAATCCTGAAAGAATAGACTAAAATTAGAAATTCAGGGCAGCACACAGGCCAGCGCTGAGCCCTTAAACACTCGTGATTAAATTTTTGATGGAAATCAAAATTGCAAAACAAGCAGGAGATGAAGAGACTGAACCTGCTCCATTGTGACACTAAAAAACTAAAGAGAGGGGTTTGTGTGTGTGTGTGTGTGTGTGTGTGTGTGTGTGTGAGAGAGAGAGAGATCAGGGCAGATATGTACACTTGTAAAACACTTAAAAAAATTTAAAAAAATCATTACAGCCCCATAATTGTGTGTTGTGCATTTATTACATTATTATTCATTGCCATTTTATTTATACATGTATTAATTCAAATTATGGTTATTTATCATTTATTACAATATATAAATGCTTCATTTTGAATTATTGCATTCATAATTACATTCCCTGGCTTTTCATTTTGTTGGATGTTCCATTATTTCCCCCGGAGCTTTAATCGTCCGATACTTGCTCATGTCTAGCAGAGATCAGAGGACTGAACATCTGCTGCGGTTAATGCAGTACGGCTAGCTGTTATTTCATCAATTTTACCCCACCTTATAACCTGCACTGTTATTATTTTACTTGCACCCCAGCAAAAACTGAGACACTGCAACCACATACACTACAAATAAGAGCTACATGATCGATTCTTGTGTCAAATGCAACTGGAAATAAAAGAACACTAAATGAGTTGTAGGAAGTTATATGATTTTTCCAGATATCAAAACATTAAAGGGATAGTTCAACCCATAAATGAAAATTATGTCATTAATTACTCACCCTCGTGTCGTTCCAAACCCGTAAGACCTTCGTTCATCTTCGGAACACAAATTAAGGTATTTTTTGCTAAAATCCACAAATTCGGGTTTTTGTTTTTTTTTTAAATATAAAAACGACAATGCACTAGTGTAAACGTAGCCTCAATTACAGAGATAACTTACAAAAATACAATAAACATCAAATTAAGATGTGCATTCACAAAAAATAACAGACAAACTCTACTTTCATTTGTCATTTTTTGCGATATTGTTAAAGGGGTCATGAACTGAGGAACCAAAATTCCCTTGATCTTTTGACATATAAGATATCATTGTACTATAAAAGCATCCTGTAAGTTTCAGAACTCAAAACTTTGTTAGTCTAAAAACAGTTCGAAGGCAGTCTGAATACTGAAGGCAGCTTTTGCATTCAGTATTCGGAAGCTAAGGAAGCTTTTGAAATGTTCTACTCTTTAGTTTTTTTTAGGAGTCGTGGTAGTAGAGGCGTCGCAACTATAACGACATGTGAATAATCCCGCCCACTCTAAAGCGGTACTGAACTGCAGTGGAAACGCAAACCGAGCC